GAATGCAAATGGGAGGTGTCAGTGAAGACAGCCCGATGCCGTGTCCCCATCATGGGGACTGGGCTCCGAGGGTCTGTGGCCGGGACGGCACCTTGTCGGCTGCCGCCAGTGATCCTGCCTGCCTCTGCCACCAGGCGGGCAGCCCGGCAGAGGCGGGATCGTCTCCTTGCTCAGCTTTCTACCAAGTGTGGTGTGGGGCTGGCCTGGGGCTATTCTTCCTCCTCAAAGCAGAAGTTGTATGTCAGTGGGTCTTTGAGCAGAATTCAGTTCAAGGGCACATTTTGTTTGGCCTACAAATTTTTTAAAAAATTGAATTAGTCGCCAATCTTTAAAAATCAGGAGATTTCAAATGAATATCCAGATTTCCAACTTCTCTTCAAAACCAGCAAGTCCACCTAGACTCTGCCCAAAAATCGTACACAAAGCTATAATTCAAAAAGACCCACTCACCCCTGTGTTCATAGCAGCTCTGTTCTCATGAGCCAAGATACCGAAACCACCTGAACGTCACCAACCAGTGAGCAGATAGAGATGAGGCCCATCTGCACAGTGGGGCAACACTCAGCCACTCCACGCAGCGGCACGGAGGTGCCCAGAGACCTTCACACTGCACGGGGTCAGGAGGCGAAAGACAAAAGCCTCTGTGACGTCACTTACTATATGAAATCTAAAATACGACAGAAACAGAAGCAGACTCGCAGATGTCGGCATCAGACTTGTGGTTTTCAAGGGGGAAGGAGGGTGGGAGACGGATGGACTGGGAGTTTGGGGTTAGCAGAGGCTAACTTTATATATAGGATGGAGAAGCAACGAGGTCCTACTGTATAGTGCAGGGAACTATATCCAATACCCTGTGATAAGCCATAATGGAAAACGATATGTAAATGAACGTCTGTGCTGTGCTGTGTTTAGTCGCTCAGTCATGTCCGATTCTTTGTGACCCATGGACTATAGCCCACCAGGCTTCCCTGTCCGTAGGGATTCTCCAGGCCAGAAACTGGAGTGGTTGCCATGGCCTCCTCCAGGGGATCTTCCCGACCCAGGGATCGAACCCACGACTCCTGCACTGCAGGCAGATTCTTGACCGTCTGAGCCACCAGAGGAGTCCAAATGAATGTGTGTGTGTGTGTGTGTGTGTGTGTGTGTGTGTATAAAATACCGAATCACGTTGCTGTACAAAATTAACACAACATTATAAATCAACTACAATAAAAAAAAGAGAGCGAGAGAGAGAGGGAGACTCTGCCTGAGTTTCTGACTGGTTGAGAACCCCTGGGACCCAGTGAAAGCCTCAGCCCTCCCTTCACAGGAGTCCTCCACCCCGGGACTTTGCCCCTTTGTTTTCTCGCTGTAGGACCAGGGGTGTCGATGGCAATCTATCCATAGGCAGTCACACTTCCTTATTCCAGAGCCCCTGAATTGCCTGGGCAGAGACCCCCGAGAACCCACACTTTTTTTTTTAAAGTATCAGAGTGCTATTATCAGAACACACACCGCAGATCATGCTGCTGCTGCTAAGTCACTTCAGTCGTGTCCAACTCTGTGCGATCCCATCCCTGGGATTCTCCAGGCAAGAACACTGGAGTGGGTTGCCATTTCCTTCTCCAATGCATAAAAGTGAAAAGTGAAAGTGAAGTCGTTCAGTCATGTGTGACTCTTCGAGATCCCATGGACTGCAGCCTACCAGGCTCCTCCATCCACGGGATTTTCCAGGCAAGAGTACTGGAGTGGGCTGCCATTGCCTTCTCCGACAGATCATGATAAAAGACTCTAATTTTTTAAAAAAGATGTTGTTATCACCACAAAACACCTGTTGTCCTATCCAGTGGACACATCAGCTATTGCACATGAAACACTGAGATTCTGGTTTTAAAGAGCTCAGAACAGTGCCTGGCTCATAGTCAGCACCCCATGTATGTTAAACCAAAATTTTAAATATGGCAACAAGCATCTGAACATGGTGTGCCTTACAGGGGGTTTGATGGACGTGGGGAAGTGAGTTGAACGCCCGGTTGTTCAAGGACGGGGCAGGAATCCTGCCTTAAAAGGGGCAGGAATCTCAGTGGGGGAATGTCAACCGGTGATAAAGAACTATTTTGTGTGCCTGGAATCCCCGAGTCTGCCTGCTGCTGTGGGTCACATTGCAGACCATGTGCGCTCTGGGTCCCTCTCCAAACCCGCGCGCTCAGCCTGCCTCCCTGCACTAGGGACCACATGTGTCTGTCACAGGAGGGTGGTCGCAAGGAGCTGGAGATACAAGCCATCACAGGTGGGCTTCCAGCAGCCCAAGAACCCCCAAGGTGGTGGGTAAAAATGTGTCTGTGTTCAACTTGGCAACAGGGAGGGGAGTGATCATAGTTTTCATTGGATTTTCAAAGTACTCTGATGCAAATAACCACTCCTTTTGGAGACTAGTAACCTTGCCAGGCTTCCGCCTCAGAGATGCTCCGTCAGGAACCCCACCTTCAAGCTCAAGAAGGAATCGCTGTCTGTTACATGAAGCAATGACTGGGTCCCAGTGATCTATTTGAGGATGACCTGCAATCCTTGCGTATTGCTTCAAGTTTATACTATGTGCATTTATTTATTTTTATTATAACATAAATGGTTATATTATTTTATTATTTTATATGCAGGTTTCTAACAAGTATGTTTTCTGTAAGGATTCCATCCTCTTTAGGAATGCCTAGGCAGGCAAATGTTCAGGATGGGGCAGGTGACCCAGGGCCTCTGGGGAAGAAGGCTGAGACCAAGGGCATATGTCTTTTGAGTCTCTCATCGAGGCTCATGAGTATCTTTCCGCTGCCACGAGCGAGTCCCCGATACCATCTGCCCCCACCCCGACTCCCTTCCCCATCTCCCAGTTGGGAGGGAAGTGTCCAAGGGAATCTCTGTCTTGCGAGGAGAGGAGCCAAGAGGAACGTGCTGTCTCCGGCAGGGGTGGTGGGGGCGAGGTGCTGTGTGAGTTACCATGCATGCTGGAACAAACTGGCCCCGCATGAGGGCTTCAATCAGCACAAACCGCCTGTTTTTGCAGCTCTGGAGGCCTGGAGTGTGAGAGCGGCGTCCTGGGGCCACGTTTGCCCGAAACGCTGTCTGTGAGCGTCCTTGCTTGCCCCTCCCAGGCTCTGGTCAGGACCCGCAGTCCTTGGCAGTCCTTGGTTTGATGCTGCATCACCCAGGCTCTGCTTGAATTTCCCTCTCCTTGTAAGGGCATCGGGGACTTCCCTTGTGGCTCAGAGGGTAAAGCGTTTGCCTGCAATGTGGGAAACCTGGGTTCGATCTCTGGGTCGGGAAGATCTCCTGGAGTAGGAAATGGCAACCCACTCCAGTATTCTTGCCCGGAAAATCCCATGGATGGAGGAACCTGGTAGGCTACAGTCCATGGGGTCGCAAAGAGTCAGACACAACTGAGTGACTTCACTTCGCTTCACTTTATAAGGACATCAGCCGTGTTGGATTAGGACCCACATGGTGGCTCAGCAGTAAAGAATCCACCTGCCGATGTAGAAGAGGAGGGTGCAATCCCTGGGTGGGGCAGATCCCCTGGAGAAAACAGCAACCCACTTGAGTATTCTTGCCTGGAAAGGCTCATGGAGAGAGGAGCCTGGCAGGCTACAGTCTATGGGGGTCGCAAAGCCATACAAGACTTAGTGATGAAGCAACAATGACCGTAACTTCCTTGATCACATCTGCAAAGGCCTTATTTCTAGGTAAGGTCTCATTCACAGGTGCAGGGGTTAGGACTTGAAGGTGTCTTTGGAGGGGGGAGGGGAACACAATTCAACCATGGTGGGTGCGTCGTCTCAAAAGGCCCTGCCAGCCCAGTCCCCTGGGTTGCTCCCGGCCCACACCCCCACCTTCCCCGGGGTCTTCTTTTTTATTTGGCGGCTCTGGGTCCTAGCTGTGGCATGTGGGATCTAGTTGCTTGACCAGGGCGCAAACTCCAGGCCCGTACCTTGGGAATGCAGAGTCTTAGCCACTGGATGATCAGGGAAATCCCTCCTGGGGATCTTGAGGTGGTGGGTGCCACCATCCCTCCTGCCATGATACCTGAGTACCTTCCCCCTTGGTACATATCCTGAAGTGGGATTATTTTTTTTTCCTGCATCTCAATCCTGCAGCACTGAGATTGAGCTACGTGAGCAGGAGATGTGTGTGTTTCTGTGTGCATGTGTGTGCCTGTGGGTGTGAGCCTGTGTATGTGTGTGTTTTGGGAGGGGTGTGTGTGTAGGATGGTCAGGAGGGATGAGCAGGAGGCAGGAAAGCAGAGAGAGGATGGAGCCTCTGTAGCGAAGGTACAGGTGAAGAGGGCAAAGGATGTCCTGTAACGGGGCAAAGCATGCTGGTGACAAATATGGAAATGCTATGCCTGTGGTCTCAGTCCCACACGAAAGGTGTGTTCATTAGTATGCTGATTCTGTTACTTTGTACACACATGCTAAGCTGCTTCAGTCATGTCCTACTCTTTGCAACCCCATGGGCTATCACCCACCAGGCTCCTCTGTCCATGGAATTTTCCAGGCAAGAATACTGGAGTGGATTTACATGCCCTTCTCCAGGGGATCTTCCCAACCCAGCGATTGAACCTGCATCTCCTAAGGCTCCTGTACCGCAGGCAGATTCTTTACCACTGAGCCACTAGGGAATCTCATTCTGCTACTTTAAGAGAAACCAAAATGACAGTGGCCTAAGGAAGATCAGAGTTGGTTTCCCATTCTTGTGAAGTTTGAGCTGGTGACCGACCAGACCCTGGCCCATGCCACTGCCCAGGGACCCAGACTCCTGTTGCTCTGCCATCTGTGAAAACACAGTCCTTTTCCAGACTCAAAGCTGGCTCACCACCTCATTCATGTCCCAGCCAGTGAGAAAGGAGAAAGGGGGCTGGGGGACATATCCTTTCCTTTTCAAGGCTCACTGGGAAACTGCACTCATCACTCCCCCTTCTGCTGGCCAGAATTTCATACACATGACCTTGCGAGCTGCAAGGGAGTCAGGGAAATATGGCTTTTATTCTCAGAGGCCATGATCGCAGGGATTTTGCTGCAATTAACAAGGCAGTCACGGATATTGGGGAACGGCTGACAATCTATTATAGAAGGAATGTGATTTTAGAAATGTAGTGATATTAAATCCCCCTTTCACCCCTTATGATAAACAAAACCCCCAATTATACTCATACAATAAAGAAAATAAGGAACATGTGATTAGAAAAATCAGCTCAGCAGGGAGGCTCTGTCCAGCTTTGACCGGTCCTGGGGTCAGGACGACCGCTTCATCTCAGGAAGGTATGCACTGGGTCGCTCGACAGCCAGCTGGTTCTCAATGACGTAACACGCCCTGCAACTCTCCAGAATGCGGGCCTGGAAGTACGCTTTGTCCTGCTCCTGCCAAGTGTCAGACTCAATGTACACGTTGTATGGGTCATGGGAGTGCTCCAGTTTCTTGGAGCGGATATAACTCAGCATGATGCCCAGGGTGAAGAAGCCGAAAAAGCCGAGGACCATGAGGATGTAGAGGGCCGCCAGCTTGCCATCCTCGTGGCCCGGGAACCTGCGGGCCGGCCCAGACGCGTTGCTGCCCTGTTGAACTGTCCCCTGCCACAACTTGGTCAGCACAGGTGTCATGGCCGTGGCGTTAGACAGGATCATCCTGAGAGCCAAGGTTTCACTCCCGGAGGGTGAACTTCCCAGGAAAACTGTCTTAAAGAAAAGTGCAACCTGAAATCACAAAACATGGATTGGCCTCAAACCCACCCCACTGCCACCACCACCGCCACCACCACCACACACACATGGCACAGAGTTTTTAAAATCCCAGGGTGCCCTAACCACACTCCTCTGTTATGGGGTGTGCCACCTGGGATCTGCACAGTGCCCTCTCTTGATGGATCAAATGATTAATTGATTCATGTTTATTTCTATTCATCATTTCCAGCCCCTGTCACCACAGGGGGTCAGCAGAAAGAGTTCCTTGAATGGACATATTGTGTGATAGGTATATCTGTTAGTTTACATGCTATGGACCAAACTGTGTCCCCCTCAATTCATATGTTCAAGTCCCAACCCCCACTGTGGCTGGAGGCAGTCTTTAGGAGCTAATTAAGGTTGTGCATGCATGTTCAGTCACTCAGTCATGTCTGGCTCTTTGCAACCCCATGGACTTTTGCTGGCCAGGCACCTCTGTCCGTGGAATTTTCCAGGCAAGAATACTGGAGCGGGTTGCCATTTCCCACTCCAGGGGATTGTCCCAACCCGGGGTCAAACTTGCGTCTTCTGGGTTTCTTGCGTTGGCAGGTGGAATCTTTACGACTGAGCCACCTAGGTACGGTCCTGAAGGTAAGGCCCTAGTCTGACAGGGCAGTGGCCTTATAAAGAAGAGCAAGAGAGACCCTTGGCCTGGGTTCCTGCCTGGCACTCTGACTTTTCAAACTTCCCAGGTGATCCTACTTGCTAGCCATGATTGAGAACCCTAACCCTTAGGAAACTGACCAATCAGTGTAGTGTGCTCCCTGAATACCTGGAAGAACTTTATAAAAAGAGAAATAGCAATTTCATAGCATAATTTTCTAATCTTGTTTGTTTTTCAGATTTTCTTTTTCAGTCTTGTGCATCCCTCATACAAACTGAACAGGAGTTTTGGAGAAAAATTCCTAAGTCATCACCGTGACCTCAGCTGCCCCCATCTGAACTCATGCTGGTATCTCTGCTGAGCCTATTGGAACTTGAGGGCAAGCCAGAAAAGTCAAGTGAATTAACTGCCTTTCAAATAACAATGCTGTTATTTTTAACAAAAAGTCTTTTCTGACTTTACACTTCTATCATATTGCTTTTGCTAAATGCCTCTGTCCCCCCAAGGCTTGCCTGCTGGGTCACATGTGTGTTTGCATAATGAGTCACAAGATGAGCTTGGCAACATCCTCTACTAATCAACAAGATACAAATGACACAGAACCTAATCTGCATGACAGCTGGGGGCTTATGGCCCACTCCCTAAGCTCACATCCGCTATAATGCCAAAGCACTGCCTGGTGGCCACAGTTAAGACTGTTGGAGTCCAGCGGATTTGGAGACCAGCTGATTCAACCTTAACTTTATAGAAAACTGGGCTGAATAGAGGTGAGCTGACTTGCTTGAGGTCATGTCTCCTATCAAAAATGCATCTGTCAACTTTAATCTTTTAGCCATGGACTCACATTTTATTAGCACAGAAAAGGGAGTTCTCCGGATCTTGCAGAGAGAAGGTGGATCTGTACTCAGGCTCAAAGAAACTGAGAAGCCAGACACTTGTATCAGATAAAACTGGGTCTACCCAAGTGGGGACTGGCTTCTGATCTAAATAGGCAACAGAAGAGCCCTCTCCCGGACCAGGGAGAACCACAGCTTTTTGTATCTCACTCAGGGAATGTCAGGCTGGAGGAGGCAGAAGTAGCAGGAACCAGGAAGGTCCAACTCCAAACACAACCAGCTTGATGCTCAGCTTGTGCTGAACACTTTCAAACTGGCCTTATTGGGCCCAGAAAGAGGGGAGGGTTGGTTCCAGAAGTTTCTACTTCTGCCTGGGTTTGAGACGTTTCATAGGGTCTCACAGACACTGCCCCTAACCAAGGTTTGTTGTTGTTCAGTTGCTAAGTCATGTCTAACTCTTTGCAACGCCATGGACTGCAGCATGTCAGCCTTCCCTGTCCATCAGCAACTCCTGGAGCTAACTCAAACTCATATCCATCGAGTCGGTGATGCCATCCAACCATCTCATCTTCTGTCATCCCCTTCTCCTCCTGCCTTCAATCTTTCCCAGCATCAGGGTCTTTTCCAATGAGTCGGCTCTTTGGGTCAGGTGGCCACAGTATTGGAGCTTCAGTTTCAGGATCAGTCCTTTCAGTGAATATTCAGGGTTGATTTCCTTTAGGATGGACTGGTTGGATCTCCTTGCTGTCCAGTCAAGGTTAGTGCAATTTTTTTTTTCAAAGCTTAGTCCCAGGGCTTCTGGTCCACCGAGACTCACTCAGGATTTGTGACTGTGGGCCACTGGGGTGAGCTGAACAGTTGCAAATGGAGACCAAGTGGGCCTCCAGCACCGCCCCCCTGCACCCCAGGGGAAGAGGGGGCAGCAAGTGATGTCACCGTATTCCCAGCACAGGCCTCACCTTCTGCATTTTTCCCTGGAGTTCCGGCTCTGTCACGTATCAGCACTGATAACAGGCTTTTAGAGCAGCTTTCCCAGCACTGCACCTCTTACTCTTTCCTACACGTTTACTGAAAGGGCTTTTGTGGCTGACTCCGAGCTCTCTGCTGAAAGGGCCAGATTCTGGGGTAGAGTCCAGGAAGGAGGAAGGTCAGGGATACAAATTCCAGCCCTGGCTCAGTTCTAGCGAAACCAGGAGGCTCCCAGGGACCGTAGTGCACTTATCTAGGTGGGATGGGGGTGACATTCCCGTCATGCTTGGCAGCATTCTCTAACCCTTTCCTTGAAAGAGCGACCAGTTTTGAAACCAACATTCTTTGCTTCAGGAAGCAGAACTAGTTTCAGACAATTACAGATAAGCTTCATTTGGGTGAACAGGATCTTACTGAATCAAGAATTCGGTGAGGAAATTTCCAATTTTCCTCAGAAGTAACTGTCAACTGTTTTCATCTTTATCACAACACTATGTCCAAGGAGATCAAACCAGTCCATCCTAAAGGAAATCAACTCTGCGTATTTATTGGAAGGACCGATGCTGAAGCTGAGGCTCCAATACTCTGGCCACCTGATGCGAAGAGCTGACTGATTGGAAAAGACCCTGATGCTGGAAAAGATTGAGGCCAGGAGGAGAAGAGGGTGGCAAAGGATGAGATGGTTGGATGGCATCACCAACTCAATGGACATGAATTTGAGCAAATTCCAGGAGACAGTGAAGGACAGAGAAGCCTGGCATGCTGGAGTCCATAGAGGTCACAAAGAGTCGGACACGACTGGGTGACTGAACATCGAATGTCCAAATTGCTCTTGGCAGCAAAGAAGCCAACAGGGGCTCAGACCCTTCCAGGCAATCAGCTGGCTTTGTTTTGGGCTTTTTACCTCCTTCCTTCCCAGCAGGGGAGTCACTAAAGTGGCCACAGTCTCAAAAAATCAGGATGAAACCTATACAGAGGCATGGCACCCGACTGCCCTCAAAGATCCGAAAAGGACTTGAGATCGAGAAAGGACTCCCTGCTGGCTCGAGTCTGGTTATAGGACCAAGAGCTTCTCAGACCTGTCTGGATTACAGAGAGGAACTCTGAGGTGTGAAGGGTGGAGATGGGAACCAGGGCGCTGGTGAGAGGGACCGGGTCAAACTCTGCCTGTATGTGAAAAGGATGAGCCTTTTGGCATGGAAAATGGAAGGGCATTCTCTGGGAGGACACCTGAAGTCACAGAGAGGGAAGAATCTCAGGCTCAGCAAATTAAATGAACTCGGGGAGCCCCAGTTTCCTCATCTGAAAACTGAGGTTAATGGGATTCCCCCTGACTGTACTACAGGGCATAGGGGAGGCCTGGAATGAGCCCATGCTTTCCTGTCTTTTGCTTTTGCTGGTCTCTCTGCAAAAAAGGCGAGACCCTTGTGTTTGCTTGTCAAAATTCCGTGGGTCCACCATACGCGCACATCTATGCCAACTGGTGAAGCCCCTTTCAGAGGTCCCCTCCCCTCCTCTGGGCCCTTAGAGTGCCCTGTCTCTACTGCCCAGATTCTAAGTTGTGTTGCAATCCTTTGTAGACGTTTCTGTGCATTTCCAGGGGGCTCAGGAAGGTCAGAGACTGTCTTGTTCACCGTGACCTCATTCACGCCTCCAGAATGATTCAGTAACGGTTTGCTGAAGTAAATAGGAAAGTGCAATCAACTATGACCTGAATGTGAGGAGCAAATAACCAATAAGGTAGAATTCACACTGGAAAGAGGTTAGTGGGTAACCAAATGAAAACCTCTTTCAATGTAGTCTGTTTTTATGTAATAAAATTTAAATTATTTTTATGTATAGTTAATTAGCATTATTTTATATATTAAACTTTATGTTAACATAGTTGTATATTATATATAGCATGCAATATATATAATATTAATATAGTTATATATATGTACAACTCTGCTTTTCCTAGAAAGGTTTAAGGCCATCAGTAATTGTCAGTAATACAGGAAAATTCTCACTCCTGCCTTCCACGTCCTGTAACTCTTATCTCGCTCTGCCTTTTCCCATAGTACTTATCAACTGCACCCAGTACAGTTTTCTTATTTCTTGTGTTCATTGTTTATTGTTTGTCTTCCCTATCTTTGGAGGGCTTTGGAGGGCCAGGATCTTTGCCTATCTTGTTCCCATGTAGCCCAAAGACTAGAACAATGTCTGGCATATGGCAGGAACAGAGTAAATATTCACAGATGCAGGCATGCATGCATGAATACTTGAGTGAGTAAATGTCCCATTCAACTCCCATAAAGCCCAAAACACACAGAAACTGTCTCACCAGCTCTGCCTTCAGAGACTTGAGATGACAAGAGCGAGTCCCTCAGAGGTCTTCACGGTGTACTTTATTTTCAAAGTAATCCACTTTCTAAGAACCTGTCAAAAGCCAGAGATAACCTGAATATTCTGGAAACCAAGGTTGCCTTCCTCAGACCCAACCTCAGCTCATCTCTGATCGGCACCATGAAACAGACCAGAGCAAGCTGAGGGGTTCTGCACCCTGGTTAGAAGCCCAGAGGTCAGAGTCCACTGCACCTGCTGGCAATTAATTGATCACATGATTTAAAGCAGTGGTCGACCACAGCAAAGTTCCCCATCATTCTGACCATAAGTAAAAGCTGTGGTTATTGACAAGACCGTCCTTTATGGAGCTGGAAGCTCTTTCTTAACCTGAAAGGGGACTCAAAGGGTCAGTTCAGGTACAGCAGTCTAAAAAAATTGAAGGTGGAGCTTGGGAGTGATGGGGATGGGGTGGGTGGGTTAGCACGTGATAGCCTGGGCGCATAACAGGTGATTGGTACCAGGTCAACTTTACTCTAAAAGTTCCAGGTTTTCCCCACTTAAGATCAGATATCAGTAATGTTCTCCGTGTCCCTTGCCTTTTCCCTGGGGACGTGCCAAGGCCCAAGAACTTTTCTGGTCCCCCAAAAGGAAAAAATCCCCTTTGAGACCGGTGTGTATGCGTCTTGCCTGATCTGGAGGTCTCTGAACCCAAGCGGGGGCTAAGATCGTGGGCTGTTTTAGTTTCCTTTGGATGCTTTTAAGTATTTCCCCAACTTTCTACAGGAACGACTGTCATTTAATAATAACGGGGAAGAGTTGTTATTTGGCCCTGAGATGATTTTTCTCTGCAAGCGTTCTAGAAGTGAAGAGGGCAGAGGGGAAGAAGGCGCGAGTCCGGGTCATCTACTCTGCCTTCCAAGAAGGGGGTCGCGGCTCCCCTTGCCTGGAGCACCCGCGGCAGCCCAGAGGGGCTGAAACCCTATGCCTGGACCCTCCCCTCAGGGTCGCCCGATTTAGAGCATCGCGCGCCGCCGGGCGAGGAGCCCCGGAGGCAGGAGGCCTTGACTTACCGGATCTGGGGCGCGGAGAGAGCCGGGTGCGCAGCGGGGTCCGCGCGGGCCGAGAGCAGGCACCGACAGCCGCGCGGCCGGCTGCGCGCTCGGCCGGGGAGCGCGCGGCGGAGCGGGCGGGGCCTTCGGAGCCACAGGGCGCCCCGCCCCATCCCCGCGCGTCCCGGTCCAGCCCCGGGTTCACCCCGATCCTCAGCACCCTGTGGTTAGCCCCAGCAAATGCTCTGGCACTCGGAGTAGGCGCAGAGCCCGCCGAGAGTTTGTATTAGAACTGCCAGCCAGCCGGTCAGCCAGACAGCTGTACCTTCTTGGGGGGAGGGTGTGTGGTGGGGTGGAGTTGGCAAACAAGAAGCCGCAGTGGTCAAGAGAAGTCAGTCCCGGAGACCCCCCACTCTCGGCCAGACACTCACTAAATTCCTTTGCAAACAGCTCCAAACAATCACTTCAAGGACGCTTTTCAAAACTCCTGCTGACCCTTGTTAACTGTGCCATTAGTCAGTTCATCGCTCAGTCGTGTCTGACTCTTTGCAACCCCATGGACTGCAGCAGGCCAGGCCTCCCTGCCCATCATCAACTCCCGGAGCCTACTCAAACTCATGTCCATCCAGTTAGTGATGCTATCCAACCATCTCATCCTCTGTCGTCCCCTTGGCCTCCCGCCTTCAATCTTTCCCAGCATCAGGGTCTTTTCCAAGGGGTCAGTTCTTCGCATCAGGTGGCCAAAGTATTGAAGTTTCAGCTTCAGCATCAGTCCTTCCAGTGAATATTCAAGACTTATTTCCTTTAGGATGGACTGGTTGGATCTCCTTGCTGTCCAAGGGACTCTCAAGAGTCTTCTCCAACACCACAGTTCAAAAGCATCAGTTGAAACCCACTAGTGGCCATACATCTATTTGGCAAGCTTTCATTGAGCACCTAGTGACCAGGTGTCCTGTCCTGAGTTCGGGGTGCAGCTGTGGACAGACAGACAGGAGGGGGGTGGTTTAGGAGGGTGCACGGGTGTCGGTGCACAAGTGTCAGTGACTGGAGCCACCCATGCCTTGGCAGCCCGGATCCAAAGTTCCTGGGGTGGTGGGGAACAGACTTAGGGGCCATCATGGGAAAAAACAAAGCCATGGCCCCAGTAACCTCCAGGCAAATCTCCCAGCAGCTTCCCACTAGCCTGGAGGTGGTGGGGGAGACCAGCTTGAGAGGGGCAGTTCCTAAATGACAGTCCCTTGAAAGAAAGCACTAGGGAAGAAGGTCCAGGCTTGCAGTCTGCATGCAGGAAGCAGAGAAATTCGATTCTTGACCTACAGATAGAAGACATTTTCTCTTGTGCCTAAAGACTTCAAGGATGCCAGTCACTTCTTGCGCCTCCACCTGGGAGTTCTCTGGGGGAGGACCCCATGAAGGCTCTGGTAAGTGGTCCAATGGGTGTGGCATCTTAGGACGCAGCCCAGTGGGTACAAGTGGAGCTGGCACTACCCTGCACCATGGTTGCTAGTCTAAGCCCACACAGCCACCTTGGAAAGTCAAGGGTCCATGGCCTTGGTGTGCACTTACACTGTGTGAATCTATTCTATGGGGCGGATCTGAATTGTAGAATAGCTTTATGCTTAGAAAACTTCTTTGCGGTTTTACCTTAAATAACTAGAATCTAAGTGTCTCAAAATAGAAAAGCAGTTGCATTATGGTAGGTATTTTAGAATGTTATCCTACACACTGGAATATTGTATGTGGTCATTAGCATAATGCTTACAAATAGCTGGTAACAACGTGGGGGACAATGTTTACAAATAGTTTGTACTGTTATATGAAAAATACAAACCCTAAATGGTACATTGAGCCCATGTTTGCATGAAATGTTCCTTTGGTAGCTCCAATTTCCTTAAAGAAATCTCTAGTCTTTTCCATTCTATTGTTTTACTTTATTTCTTTGCATTGTTCATTTAAGAAGGTTTTCTTATTTCTCCTTGCTATTTTAGTTGGGTATATCTCTCCCTTTCTTCTTTGTCTTTCACTTCTCAGCTGTTTGTAAGGTCTCATCAAAAATCCATTTTGCCTTCTTGCATTTCTTTTTCTTTGAATGCTTTTGGTCACCACCTCCTGTACAATGTTACGAACCTCCATCCAGAGTTCTTCAGGCACTCTGTCTACTAGATATAGTCCCTTGAATCTATTCATCACCTCCATGGTATAACCATAAGGGATTTGATTTAGGTTATACCTGAATGGTCTAGTGGTTTTCCCTACTTTCTTTGCCTTATTTCAAAAGACTGTAAGAAAGCATGCCACAATCTTAAGATTATTTGCTACTGATGGCTTCCACTGGATTCATTTTCATATTTATGAAACATTCTATGTTTTCCTTTCTTTTTTTTTGCAGCAACTATATTCTTTAATATTTAGGAAAAATACATAAACTATATCTGAAAATTCCCTAGATCCTATTCCCTCAAGGTCATGCTGTATGTATGTAGTATTTTTTTTTTTTTGCTCACTTTTTCACAAAGGACTCCACGCCAAGAAGGAAAAAATGGATCACTGAGGCAAAACTCTTTGTCCTCTTGAACTTATGTGCTTCCCTTTTCAGTAATAACCTGTGGACCAGGTAAGCATGCATGGATGGAGCACCCCAGAACATCTGCAGAGGCCCCTCCCTGTCAGGGGTTGGAACAGTGTCTCAACCTTTGACAGTATTATCAGCAATAAAGTAATTCCTCACACATGGGATGGAATCAGAGAGAGAAATAAGAACATCCCCACTCATTAGGAGAGAAGGCAATGGCATCCCACTCCAGTACTCTTGCCTGGAAAATCCCGTGGATGGAGGAGCCTGGTAGGCTGCAGTTTATGGGGTCGCTAAGAGTCGGACACGACTAAGCAACTTCACTTTCAGTTTTCACTTTCACGCATTGGAGAAGGAAATGGCAACCCACTCCAGTGTTCTTGCCTGGAGAATCCCTGGGACGGGGGAGCCTGGTGGGCTGCCGTCTGTGGGGTTGCACAGAGTAGGACACGACTGACCTAGCAGCAGCAGCAGCCACTCATTAGGACCCTGTGCTTGCTTCCACTGCAGGGGGCCCAGGTTCAATCCCTGGTGGAGGACTGAAGATCCTGCATGCCAAGAAGCATGCGAAAAAAAAATATTGCCGTTCACAAAATACCTTTTTGAAGACACTTCCAAACATACAAATACAGAGTCTGCACAGTAACTGGGTGATGGGTGAGTTCTCTGTGCTACACGGTAGGTCCCACTGTGTGTGGAAGCAAGCGCAGAGTTCTAATGAGTGGTGATGTCCTTATTTCTCACTCTGATTCTCTTCATCCCACCTGTGATGAGTTATTTTATTGCTGGTGATACTGTTGCTGTCATTTCCTGTTTGTAATAATAAAACATGATTACAGATGAGAAAGAGTGTCTTTTGTTGCCTTTGGCGAACTTGAAGTGGCTTCTTTTCTTTCCTTCGTCTTTTACTCTTTCATTTTTGCCTCCTCCCATTTAACAGGTGTGATTGGCCTTAAACGATCCTAACAACAGAGCCAGAGTCCTTGAGTCATTTCCTTATTTTTTTTCTCTCTGACTCTTCCACCTCCTCCCTTCTTAGACTTGAGCCTTGCTCCTTTCAGTGGCTTTATTTCTCTTCTTCCTGTATTCCACCTCTATGCAGAGGACATCCGAGGCCAGAGCTCCAGCCACTTTTCATTCTTTCTGAGCGAGATCGCAAATCTCAGCTCACAGCTTGGAGAGCCTGGTCACGTTCCCAACCCTTTCCACATGCTGCCACACTCACCAGAGAGGTCTGTCTTCATTGCAACTCACCCTGGATGCACACATGAAGCCTGGCATCATGCAGACATCTCTGTTCCCCTGGCTGCAGTCCCATGAGCGTCCAGATGCCCCTGCATTAACCTGGGGACATTCCCTCCCCCGAGGCCCCCTTCCTTCTTGCTTTTTGACCCTTTCCCCAGGGCTGCTACTACCCCCAGGTGCAGCTCTCACTTCTCAATAAGAATGCCTGGAAAGCTGGCAACTTTTCTTGAGCAGCTGCAGGGCATAACCTGGGTGCTGCGTTGTGCTGAAATTGTAATACTTCCTCCCTCCAAGAAGGACAAGATGGAGGAGGAGACATTGAAGTCCCTGTCCTGCCCCTGGCGACAGGTAGGGAGATGCAGAGTGGTGGAAGAGCGCCTGGTGATGCCATCTGGGACCTGACACCACCCCTACCCAGTGCTGCTCCGGCCGTGTCAGCATCCCTCACAGATGAGTGAACCTGTTCATGTCTTCTCTGCTGGCCACTAGGTGCTCACAGCTTATCTGTTCCCCTTCCTTTAGCCCGCATCTCCCATCTGATTCACTGGTCACAGGAGGCCAGCTTCAGTTTCCTCCTGGGGTTCCTCTTTGGGAGTCCTGCCCAGAAGAGGCATTTTTCCCAATGGCAGCATTTTCCTAACACCCTCTCAGGGGCTGCTCCTGGTCCAAAAAGAAACCATCCCCAGCCTGCTTGGGTCCTACAGGCCATTGCAGCTCCCCGACCTCACTTCCCACCTCTGCTCCTCTGAGCTCCCGGAGCAGCAGACGCGGCCCCTCTGTGCACGGCCCATCTTTTTCCCTGCCCCACACCCTTCCTCGGGTTTGGCCCTCTGCTTCCAGCTTCCCAAACCACAGATCGATGATCAACCTCCAACTGGGGCTCAGGACTTGGTCAAATCCCAGATCTTCCGCAAGGGTCTTAGAGGACGGAACCCGTGGGCTAGTTCTACGCCTCCAGGCAGAGGGTCTGTTTGTTTGCTTTAATTCTGAATTGATTTTTCAGATTAAAAAGATTGAGAGCTCTTATGCAAACTTATCAAGACGTTTGGCTTCTCTCATCAAACCCATTGGATCCAGAAACTTCATGCCCATATTTATCAGACAGCAAGTGACAGGAGCTAATGGCACAGCCCCTTTCCAGAAAGATGCAAACTCGATATTCTCTCCGGAGCTTTCCTGGTGGCTCAGATGGTAAAGAATCTGCCTGCAATGCCAGGAGACCCGGGTTCGATCCCTGAGTCGGGAAGATCCCCTGGAAAAGGGA